TTGTCCTAGAAGAACTATCAAACACGATTCGAAGTCGACTAGTAGATTTGTCCTCGCGAATGACCGCGTGGTGGGGTAAGTAGAATGACTGCTCAGAATATGACACTTCAATATCTGACGACGAATTCTCAATGATACCATCCTTACGATAATCATCAATTACCCTTTTATAATCCTCATAAAAAGCTGTATCATTTCTAAATCTCCTAACCAGACCATCGAAACATTTCCAAGCCACTTCTCTATTATTTGCTAATTTTTCCTGCATACCTGGTTTCCATGGCAACTTTACACAATACCTTCCATCTACGAACCCAACAGAATTATTAAATTCATCAAGTATCTCCTGTTCCACTAAAGTCAAACACTCCGCTTCCTTGTTTTCAATACCTAAACTTTCCAGTTCCCAGAAACGCCTGAGTTCAGCTGACACAGTGCTTTGATCACCCAAAACTAAGTTTACAGCAGCCATTTTACTCATATCACCACAATTTCCCTGCAAGGACCATCCAAGTTCTGTGTTTACAGCTACCAAAGACGTATTTAACCTTTCAAAACCTTTTGTCAAATTCCAATAAAAATCTATACCTATTAACAAGGAAATTTCATTCTCATCCGATGCTTGATTATATATCCTCACGTTAAAGTGAATCCCTTGGCTTCCATTTCAGCTCTTGTACTCTCATTCGGCAAATTAATCACAGCCCTCGAAATTTCATCTTTTTCCAATTTCCGTCTAAAATATTTTGCAATCTCACTTCGACTCTGCGACATGTTTGCAGCCAAGGATCCTTTGCTCCAAATGAATAAATCTTTAATGTTTCTGACCCTAGACATTTTAATCCCAACTGCATAGAAACATTTCTTTTCATAAAACTCTTTTCACTACCGTTATCAAACGTTGCAATAACTGTACCTGACGATTTACGACCAACAATTTCTGTCCTAACACACTGCAATAAAATCACATTCCTATCATTTACAACTGAATTCGAAATAGTAGGCTGAATTTCCATTTCCTTTGGTTTTTTCTTCTTCAGGTTTTGAATTAGATTTACACTTGCTAGAATTTTCAAATTTAAAACAAATAGCTTTGGCGTGTCTACCAAAGCAGAATGAACACTGTTTAGCATTACATTTTTTCACAAAACAGTTTGTTACAACACAACAGACATCTCCTTTCCTTAATCCCTTTTTTGTTGTACAGTCATGTTTTCACATTCAGTCTTACAGTGACCTTGACCACAGAATAAACAAACTTGGGAAGTTTTCGCGATAAATTCTGTTACTGACGTGTGTTGATTATTACAACTCGGAAGAAAATTTCGTTTCTGATTTCCAAAATTGTTTTGTTTGTGTTGATTAGAATGAAAATTATTATATGATGATACATTATTAGAATTAATACGGAATGCTTTTTCTCTTGCACTAATAGCATTATGTAAAAACTTCATCAATTCCTGTAAATCATGACAATTATTTATATTTTGCTTAGAAAATTCAAGAGTCAATTCTCCTGGCAGATTTTTTTAGTATTATGTTAGTCAGTATTGTTGTGTATGTTTCCGATTTGACATTTAATTCCTCTAAACATCTAATTTGAGTTTGGGCTTCAAAATAAAGGTTACGAAGAGCCTGGATGTTAGAAGCATTTTTTACAGGTGCCAGATTTAATAAATTTGACAAGTGAGCATTTATTAAAATGTCTCTTTGGCCAAATGTTTCAGAAATTAATTTAACAGCCTGTTTATAATTCTCTGGAGTAATTGAGAATCCTTTAATGCTAGCTAGGGCTTTACCACCTAATAACGACTTTAAATAGCAAAATTTGTCAACCTCAGTTAAATTAGAATTATTATGCACAGAATTCTCAAACTGATTCCAAAAATCTAAATATTCTGAAGGCTCACCATAGAATCGAGGAAGCGAAAGTTTAGGGAGTTTAGTTCTGTTTCTAAATGCAAAGTTTTATTTTCTACGTGAACATTTTCTGGATTTACTGTTTGTTTACCTGACTGATATGGAACTGACTGAACTGACTGATATTTCCAATTGATGTGATTTTGTTTTGCAACATTACTTTAACTGGTATTATTTTTTCGTTATATTCATCTACTGTGTTAATTTCATCCCTAATTTCTTGTTCTTCTTTCAACAATTCATCAATGTCACTATTTAGTATGTTAATAATTTTCAATTTTACTATTCAACTGTTCTAAATATGAATCACATACATCTATGTCGATATGCTGATTCATTCAAATATTATGTTTATTTTTTCTACTAACTTTAAAGTTTGTTCACAATATGTGTCACACTTAGTTCGAAGCTTTAACAATTTAGCCATTTTTACAATTTCTAGCAACAAATTTTACCCCTCAAATACTTTAACAATAAATTCTAAGAAAACACTGTAATTTTCAACAAGTAATCACACTTCAAGCATTAACAACAAATTCTAATTCTAAGAAAACACAACATTTTCTTACTTGCAAATACACTCATTCGAACTTCCAAATATCAATACAAACATTCAGTAAATGCGAAACCGAAAGTTGTAAATTTTTTCCAAACAAGATCAACGACATCGAACAACTTTACTACTTCAACAATTACAAAATATTCTATTCAAACAAATTTTCAACAAAATTATTTACTCACCCCACCATTATGATATCTTCCGGCCGACAGCAGCACATATTACAAAGCGATTAACGATACGAATGCGAAATTCAAAAGGCGAGTAATAACACTGACGATTCTTCTTCGAATGCTGTTTTTGTTTCGACGAGTTTGCATCAGTCTAATTTTGATCTTGATTTGGTATACAAAAATACATGATGATATCTTTCGTTTATATTTAATGAAAACATTAAAATATATCACAGTAATACAGACACATCGCAACGGCGAACCACAGTTACATAATGTAAAAACACAAGAGAATTCTTTCAGCGCAACAGCGCCCTTCTTTACTATGAAAAGTTCAAACAAAACATATCCTGAGCAGGTAATACTATGCAGTTTTCATGCTTATATTAGCAGAGCTGAATAGTAATGTTATCTGAGACAACATTGCATGATTTTTCTATGAAATGATCTTTGACAGATGAAATTTGCCATAATCATCCGGATTTATTCAACAGCAATTCTCCATCATATGTTCGATGTTTTCTATAATTCTGCAATTTGTGATACATCCTTGAAGTGAGGAAATGCAAACTCTGCTTGTATCTCTAAAATTTTATAATTCACAGGCTGCAACACTTTATTAAAAGTCATTTACATGACAAAAACCCATCTTGATTATGCAGTTAGTTCTTTTAGTTTCCACAGATGTCATTCATTATATATAGTATATATATATAGAGAGAGAGAAAATTAAAGGGGGAATACTCCTATTAAAACTCTATTATTTAAAATTAAATTAAGAGAATTACAATTTTGTTATTTTTTAAAATATTTAATTTTTTTTTTTTAATTTAGAATTTAAGAGTATTTTTACAAGTATTAATAGTAAAAGTCAAATTGAATTTTTTACAAGTATTAAATAGTAAAAGAATTGCTTTACTAGCAGTGGCCAATAGTAGTGGATATGCATCTGCACATTAATCAGAATTTAGTCAACAAAGAACACAGTTATAATTGAATAATTAACATTTACATTTTTAAAGTAATCTGTGCTCTCAAAGAAAATATTCTGCACAAAGAACTGTAGGTTTGCAGATGCTAATTTGTGAAATGCATAGAAGGTATACAGCTTCCAAGAAAGAATGTTTACACCTATGAGGTAATACTATTAAATATGAGGTTTCCATTAAAACAAACTTTCAATAAAATTACTCTTTTCTGTAGATTCTTTTGCTAATAAGCACTGAAATTAAGATAAATCACAAAGTATTTACAATGTTTTCCGAATATTTACAGTTATTCGAAACACATTGTAAATACAGTTTGATTACTACCAATATATTAATATAATAATAATTTGATTACTACCAATAGATATTAAACAAACATACATGAAATAAACTGCTGCGATTTTGAAAACCTTTATACATCTTTACTGCTTACAGATATACTCGATAGTCTGCTAGAAATTCTAAACTTATTTCCTTAAGTTCACTCAATAATTAGTTTTGAAAATTAGAAAGCCTTCCTTCAGGGTACATTATTCAATAACTATATTAAATTATACAATATTTTTCTACAAGTCACAGGAATTCCTATGGGCTCTTGTTTACACAAGAATATAAATTTCAGCTTAAATTGAAAGCACCAGAATTAAAACTATTTGCAAATATCTACAGGTACATAGATGATATTATTACTTTCAATAATAATAAAGCAATAAAAAAACTCAAAATTTATCCAGTCATTCTCAAAATTAATCCTACTAATAATAGTAATAATCAACAAGTAATGGACTATATTGATTTGCAAATTATTGATCATCACACCATAAAAATTTTCAACAATGTGGAAGAAGTCTTTGATTTACCCTCTCCCTGAGAAAACAATCGAAGGCTCTAGGAATAAGTGAGCTAATACGGACTTATGGACATAATATATAAATAGAATTATATCAATATGTCTTTATGATAAAACCATAGGAGCATGCTGTTAATTATTCCAAATAGAGTTATCTCAGTTTCTCTGGCACTTAGAGCATATTTGTACAAGTCAAAACTATTTTTTAGTTCTTGGTACTTATTCTTTTCTTTGGTGTATTCAATTAAACCCCTCAACAGTAATTTTTATTCAATGCCTTTGCAGATTTATTTATCACTCATTTTATTGTTAAAAGTTTTTTTCGAATTATATCAGATGTGAAAGTCTGTATTAACTTGAAAAATTTAAGATTTAAACTTTTCTCTTGTTTTATTTTGCAACTGAGTAGAATGGTTTTTAATTTAGATATAAATATCACCATTTTTCTTAAAAATCATTAGTAGTTTAATATTTTAATATTATCCTCAAACTACTGTATTTTAATATAGGACATGTGGCATAAGTTAGGTAATGACATTGTTCAAATGTATATACATAACCAGTCGAGTGGTGTTCGTCTGAATAAAAACACATTGAAAGGGATTGAAGAATTCATGATGGCGAATAAAGTAAGTGAATTCAAATGAAATTTATATATAACTTTTGTGTATGAGTAAAAGTTTTTATAAAAATAATTCTTTAACTATGCATTGTGAAATTTTTTATATTTACATTTTTGTAATGGAAATGCATTTTCTAACATAAAAGAGCAATTTTCTACCAGTTTTCTAAAACTGAAATGTATATATAAAGTTAAAAATAAAATGCAATAAAAAAAAGTTTTTTATACTATAAGCTTTGATTTAAAATGGGTGTAATAATTAATGAACTTAAAGCAGAAAAATAAATTTTCATACTGTTTTATTAAAGCTGGAGATTTAACAATTCTGTTTGCAAAATTCATCTACAGTTTTATATCATGAACAGTAAATGCGTGTGATGCTCTTGCTGATGGTAATATAAAAATAATTACAAATATATTTAACTCCATTCTTTTATTATTCATAACATAGAATTTTAGATCAGTTTCGTAAAACGAATTTTTTAATCCCGTTTTCATAAAACTGTATGATAAATTATATATCTGTTTCAGTTCATTAATTATCATATCAATTTTAAATAGAAGCTGATTGTACAAAAACCGTTTTTTAATTGTATTTAATTTTCTGTCTCAATTACATGTTATCTGTATATATTGAATTAACCGCTTGCCTGATTATCCCGAGTTATCTCGGGTTCATATATATTGCAGTTAATTATTATCCCAAGAAAACTCGGGCGAAGCAGAATTTGTTAGTACAATTTCTTTTATCACGGTTTTATTCGGTCTGGAGGAAATGAAAGGAAATATTCAGCTTTGATTGGCAATTTGCCAAATTTTGTTGGTTGCGTGATTCTTTTAGAGGGACTGGTTACGTGTTTCCCTATTGTATAGTATACGTTGGCTTGTGGATTAGTTATGTATAAAGAAGGAAGCATGCGTTGGAAAAAAATAAAATAATGGCAATGATGCAAGATAGCGAAAGCGATGATTTTTCAGATAGTGATTATGAAAAGGTTGGGGGGAAAAAATCAAATTCCACGAGACAGTGTACTCTGTGCTCCCGTGAAAGAGATTCCAGCAGTAAGCCAGTAAGAAAAGAGACCAGATACCAGTGTAGAATGTCAGGCATCACTCTGTGTTGTCCCTTGTTTCAAAAACTATCATACAAAGATTAATATTTCACTTTTTTCCGTTTGCCCGAGATAACTCGGGATAGTAAACTAATATTAAAAATAAATGCTTTACACCTTCAAAAAATTAAAAATTCAACTTAAAACCTACATATTTTGATTTGTTTCGTTTTGTTGTATTTAATAATAAAATAAAAAAATGTGATGATTTTTTGCAATTTTTTTCAAAAAAATTTGTAAGGGAAGCGGTTAAAAAACCTTTTTTCAACAATATGTAATGATTTTTTACATCCAAGAAATTCTATAATTATTTTAAAGGGCATCAGAGTTTTCATTAATCATAGTAACATATTTTAAAATAGAAGTAAGTAATAAAGTTTGCATGAATTCTTAAGCAGTGGTGTTGTTTTCATATAGAAGACAGAACAGTCAGAACAGACCATGTCAATTTGGATCAATATATTTAGAAAATAAGGTAGACGGATATGAATCATGCAAGTAAATAATTTTTTTTAAAAACTTTGTTTCATTTTTGTTTTAAAAAAGAGTGAAGAGTTTGTGATACTTAACAAATTATCACAACCACCTTAATAGAAGTCGCCAAACTTTAGCAACGTTACATATAACAGTTCTTTCTTTAGGTGACTATATGCATTATAAGCTGTAATCCGAAAATTCCCTGAATCACCTTTTTCTTCTGTAAAAAATCACAAACTGCACCAAGGTAGTTACACTAATACCTAAGTATCGAGTTTGTTTTGAGAATTTCAGATCTTTATAATGGATATATTTTGAGATTTTAAAATTTTAAAGTCCCATAAAAAATATATTACATATCATTAAAAAAGAAAATCAACTTGCTAAAAATGTATATAAGCTTGGAAAAATTAAATGAAAAGCCACAGGGTAGATTTCATTGCAAATAATTTTAAATGCTGATCAATTCTTAATATTGTTGTTTTTGAGATAGTAAGTATGCCAAGGTATCTGTGCAGAAGTGATGAGAATGATGTGACATAATGAAATCATAACCTTGAGAGTAATATGTCTGCAATTGATGTGATGACCAGTAGAAATGATTTTCCCCCTTCTGCTTGAACTGTTACATATTTTTTAAGTAAATGTAGAAAATCCTCCAATTAAAATATTTTATTCTTGTTTTAAAAGGAGACAAAGTGTTTTATAATTGGTGAAAATTTCAAAACTTTATGTTTGTACATTTTTAGATATTGAAATTTTAAAATCATGCCATCAAATAGTTGAAAAAATTGAGTGTTTTTTGAAAATTAAAAGGATTAATCAAAATAAATTGTACTACAATCAAAAGTCGTTAATCCGGACTCGTCAGGACTTTAGCGATTCCGGATTATAGATCATCAATTTAAATCTGGTAAGATGGCATGCAGAAATTATAAAATTAAAAATATGAAATAAAGAACAATTATGATCTAAAGGGTATCAAAATTTACAAAACAAAAGCTTAACATATATTTGTTACATTTCTTTCAATGTAAGTTGTTTAAGTTGCTTCGTTTTATGTGATAATACTTTCTCTTTGCGCACATGCATATTCACAGCCGTAAAGGTCTTGCGCACATGCGCAGAAAGTTTGTAGCTTTGAGGTCCGGATTATGGGTGTCCGAATAACGACTTTTGACTGTATTCGGTTTCGAGGTCTATAAAAAAATTGCAGCAAAAATGTATGCGCAAAAGCGCCAAATCTAGCAAACGCGCCCATTTAAACAGTGCACCAAATCTAGCGTATGCGCTGATTTCAGATTGCGTAAGTTTATATAGTTCTATATTTCTTAAGATGCCATTGAAATACTAGTTTAATTTTTAAACCCCTTTTTGATATTCGATGGATTTAACAATTTGGGAATTGCCCATGACGAAAAGTTGGCAATAGAATTTTGGGTAAAGTGCAGAATCACCCACTGCTTGACGTGTTTTTAAGATTTGCACATACTCGGTATTCATGTGCACATCGACCTATTTTCACTTAAAAAAAATCCTAGAATTGCACAGAAATGGCACTGCACACACCCTTGACTTTATCTATGTGCACATCGACCGATTTTCACTTAAAAGTAAAAGAAAATTGACAAAAATCCAATTGTTTTTACCCTTGTAAAAAGCGGCAAAAAATAAGTGAGCGATTCTGCACTTTGCGGAGAATATTTTCAAAGAAAAGGCATCATTCATTATAGAAAATTACGTTTGAACAACCAATGAGATGAAATTATGCTTTAGTGATAAGTCGGTAGGGAAATAGCGATGCAGGCATCCATTCAGTTATGTTTAGCAATTTTTATATAAATTATAATAATGATCTGAAATAGTTATTTACTCTTATGCTTCCATTCAGTCATGTTTAGCCTTTTTCATATAAATTATAATAATAAAATGTATTATATGAAATTAACCTTTCATCTAAATTAAAACATCAATCTTAAATTGTTATTTACAATTACACTTCCTTTCTTGCCGCACTTATTTTTGGCAGCATTGGCATCAACAATAGTTTGGCGATTTTTTACGGCCCTCGAAACCGAATAGTACCAAACAAAGTATTGCCATTCATATGCAGGAAAGCTTTTTTATAAGCCTCGTGTCCTCAGCCCATGTTCTAGTGAAAAAGGTGCACAACTATGTCTTGAATAATAAGAAATAAATACAAATATGTCAACATAGAATTTTTTTGTAGGAATATCATGCTTAATCACAAAACTAATTAGTGCATAGATGAATTAATTAATCCATTAGTTGGTAATAGAAGTTTCCATATAACAGCACAAATTAATTGTAAATTAATCAAATGTAACCTGTTTTAGTTTTATATTTTTTAATCAAGTTATTATTTTTATTTGTAAGCTATATTTGAACCACTGGCAAAAAAAGTGCAAGATCTATTCGAATTCCTGTTTCCAAGAATGTTGTGACAATATCTTGTCAGAAGATTGGTATCTCATTCTTTCTAAATGACAAAGCCAAGCTTGCAAAAGCTGATTCAATTATGTGATAAGATTTTTGACTTGTAGTTTAATATCTTAAGGAGGAAACGTTTATTTGCAAGTAAAATACATCAAAATGTGTTTACAAAAAATTTTTATTTTATGTATTATGTTTTCAATTAACATGCCTTTACTATATGCTTATTTTTATTAGTAAATATTTAGTTTTAGATAAAATGTAATGAAAAAATTATTTTAGGGACCAGATGCATTTTTTCAAGCTCAGGAAGAAATTTACAAAATATTGGAAGAGCGATATTATGCTTCATTTATTGTTAGTGATGTATACCACAAAATGTTGTCAGATGTTGATAAACAAGGCATAGATTTTATGCAAGAATTATTGGGTAAATATTGTTGCTAAATTTCTTATTTAAACAAGTAAATTTTATTTTTCACAAACCTTATCTCTAATTATATGTATTTGCAGCTACATCATGCAAGTACAAGAAATTCGAATGAGTATATTTAAATGTTCTGTTCCCTTAACACTAGAAGGGCGGTAGTGGTCATTTTGACCCCTGAACACTTTTGACCGTTGATTACTTTTGTTTTATTGGAAGAAATTGTTTGGAATTTTTTTACTTTTCCTAAATAGATAACAAATATTTGTAAAAAAATATTCAGTATTCTAGGTTTGTTAGTTTTTGAAATATTGGCATGTATTCCTAGAATGGCGGGCGGGGGTCATTTTGACTCCTTTACCCTCTTTCTGCTCGAGGCATTGTCAAATGACCCATGAAAAACATTCACGGATAAGGATTTTTCAATTGCATTCACTATCTCCCAGAGGGATAAAAACCTGAGTGGTCTCACCACTTTGGGATAAGTTGTTGTTCCTTTGTTTGCAATTATCTATTCGTTTGAAGAAAATACTGCAAGGAAGGTAGATGCGAGGTTTTTCATACTTACATTTCTTTTCATAAATAGTTTATTTTACAGATGTATTTTCCTGTTTGTTAGTTCAGCTTACTTACTGCAGGTGATAACAGTTAGGACAGATGTTTTTTTGGTAATCCCAAATCAGTATTTCAGTACATATGAATTCTGCTGTCAAGTTCATTATCATCTTTCCTTTACACTGTGAGAATCATATGCTGAAATATATTCCCTGCCGTTTTCTGATAGCCTGATATTTTTCAACTTTTACAAAATATGTCTAATAAGCGAGAAAGAGGAATAAATTAAAAAATTGTTGCAGCAGCTATCTGAAAAAGAGTCTTACAGAGGTGAAATTGATAATTTTTCTGTAGAAACTGAAGATGAATTCCAGGCACAAACTATTAGTGAATCCGAGGACAGCAAAGTGAACAAAGAAGGACTCAGCAGAAATAAATGGGCAAAAACGGATCAGAGTATTTGCAAAACTGTTTTTACAGCTTCTGATAACACTATATGGAATGAAATAAATTCCAAAAATTCAGTCTGTGGCCGTGTTCCAGCTTATAATGTTCTAAAAGAAACAGCAAGGCCAACATCTTTTGCAAAGAGTCGTGTTTCTGAGGGCAATCTGTCTAGTGCTTTCAAGTTTTTTATGAATGATGATATCTTGTTGCATATAAAGAAATGTACAGAATCCCAAGCTCATCGGCATTTGGAAATAAAGACTGGAAGTTATCTCTGGCTGAATTAGATGTTTTTGTCGCTATATTGTATGTTCAAGGAGTAATAGGAACAAAGGGCTTAGATTTATATTCCATGTGGTCCGAAACGGGGAGAATACCATTTTGCAAAGAAACTGTATCAAGAGATAGATTCAAAGAAATAAAATGATTTTTAAGGTTCAATGAAAAGACAGCAAGATCTACTCGATTACAGACTGATAAATTTGCTCTTTGCATCGGATATATGGAACAAATTTAATGAAAACTGCAAAACGTGCTACCAGCCAGGGCAAAGTATTACAGTTGATGAACAATTATTCCCATCTAAAGCTAGGTGTAGATTTACACAATGTATGCCTAATAAACTTGAAAATCTGACAAATTTGGAATAAAATTTTGATTATCTGTTGACGCTTATGTTAAATACCTCTTGGATAGATTTCCTTATCTAGGAAAAGATGAAACAGCAAATCCTCAATTACGTTTGTCTGAAAATGTTGTCATTAAATTGTTTAGATGGTGATACCACATCTAAACAAAGGGAGGAATATTATCACGGATAGGTATTTTACTAGCATTAAATTAGCAGAAATGCTAAAATCAAAAATACTGGTCAGCACAATAAAAAAGAACAGAAGAGTAATTCCTATATCTTTGAAAAATATGCATAGTAATCTTTATTCATCGACAATAGTGGAGTATGTTAATATCACACCATCTATCAAGGCAAAAGAAACAAAAGCTGCTGAGCTCATTACATTCTACTGTAAAAAACTGAAGACAGTCTCAAGAAGTTGCCCGATTCAATTGCATTTTACAATGCAACAAAGTATGGTGTGGATGTGTTGAAAATATTCAGTTAAATCAGCTTCTAGATGATGGCCTGTACATATCTTTTTCAATATTTTGGATCGCACAGCTTTAAACATCTGGATAATTTATAAAAGTATAACAGGAAACACCATTAACAGGAGAGATTTTGTACTGAAATTAATAGAGGAGTTATGGCTTCAAAACTCCCAAAGATCTTTCCTGAGTCTACAGCAAAAACACATGAAAAGAAAATGGATATAAAGAGAAAAAAGTGTCAAGTACGGAGATGCAATCGAAACAAATCTCAAGAATATTGTGCCTCTTGTTCCAAAGTAGTATGCGGAAAATGCACTAGAAAAATTATTAAAAATTATTTTTGTATCAACTACATTAATTCTTAATACGTATGTGTAATCTCTAATGTTTCAAACATTAAATAGAATTGAAACGAAATGTTTTACATATTCCATTCAGCTACACATATAATGAATGATATAACTGAAAAATCAGAGAACATTTCTCATTTCTGGATTTAGAGTGAATAATCCTCTAAGTACATAAAAAATATTATTATATAAATTATACTTTATTTTAGTTAACATTAGTTTTAATTTGTGAAACCATTTATTTGAAATCAATTCTTATGTCAAATTAATGAGTTATTTGAGTATGATCCAGTTGATCGCCATGTACTCAATACATTTACATTATTTTAAAATGTCAATAAATCATCATGTGATATTAAATATAAATTATGAAATACATATAAAGTACATATTTGTGCTAGTGTATGGCATTTAAAATTGTTTTACCGTTGTTATTTCAATACTTTCGAAGGGTCAAAATGACCCCTTACCACTGTTTCAGTAGGTAAAATTTTCCCGCCGTTTTCGTGTTAAATTTGGGCCTACCAGCAGCTGAGTTGTAAAGTCACTGAACACTGCTAGTTCAGTCCAAGGTTCTAATCTGACGAACGGCTGCATGGGCATTCTCGTGGTTTTCCCAATGTGCAGTGTGTATACGTGCCAGTTTTCCTTAGAAAATCCCTTGCTAAGGCATTTGTTCCTTAGGCAGATAGCCTGTGAGGCTTTGTCGTAATTACATAAACCAAACCATACTTTATTTTTTTTTTTTTTTTGTGTGTGTGTGTGTGTGTGTGTGTGTTATGAAAAAATCCAGGATCTTTTATTAGTGATCCGTTTAAAAACAGAAATAAATTTCCTGAGATATGTTGCATACTACTTTTGTAAAAGTAATGGAAGAAGTATATGATTATTTCTAAAAATATTTTAATACTTGCTGCTTGTCATTTACAAAATACTCTGAAGAGGCGTTTTAACATACCAATATTCTATACAGTTTCTCTAAACAGTTTCAGTCACTCATCTTATATAATTTCTGTATATCTTTTTGTTGTTCTTTCTGAGTTATGTAATTATTGTAATCACATGTACTGAGAATTTTTTCCTTGGATGCATTTATTGTATGAAATGGTCTTTATTTTATTTCCACATGAAGATGTTTGAAAATGATATATAGTGAATGAAAAGGTCATCTTCACTTACTTGGTATCATTTTCACGGTGTAACTCTTCATACAAAATGAAGTGAGAAGATTGCTTATTGAGGATTTCAAGGAAATTTTCACCTTTTCTCTTCTTTTTTTTTAATGGATATAATTAAACAAATAATAGTTTTTCTGTTTTGCCATTTTTTGGATTGACATCTTCGATACATGCAATATTATTCCATCACAGTTAGAATACTCTATTTGTTTATTTTGTCATTTTTGTTGAGGCGATTGTGTTGCGAATGTATGCTCTGCCCATTCAGAATATCAGCAATTTTGTATTGTATTATTTAATTCACTTCTCCTGCTCATTTATTAGTTGCAATAAATGTGTGAACCAATAAATAGTGTTCAATTTTTGACTTAACTGTAAGCATTTCTACAAACTATACAGTAGATTACTTTGGCTATTAATAACCATAATTGGGGCAAAACCTTTTCCTTATTTATTAGAAATTTTGCTTAGATCTTCTATGGGATATGCGTGATATATTAATTAATATCTGTAGTTTTCTTCATTAAATTTTGCATATTTTGTCTGTATGTGTTTACTTATATTTATTTCATACATACATCATTAAATTACATTTTTCAAATATTGTGCATTTTTAACAAAATGAAAAATTTTTCTTAGTCCTGCACTATTTTCTGAAATGCATTTGCTTTTTACATGTGTATGTGTCACATTCTGTGAATTCTCACAGTAGTTCAAATTTTTTTCATCAATTATTGGTATATTTCCTTATTATTATGGCCTCCATTTTATAAAAGGTCCACAGATTATTGATTAATTGTCACTATAAACCTTCATTAAATAGCTGGCAAACCTAACCACAATCATTTATAGTTTGCTCATTGCATTATTATGACAAGCTCTAAGCATTTGTCATACATTTTCATGTAAATGTTAACTATTCATGGTTGCTCATGATTCTGTCATCATGAAAAGAGCTTTGAATATTCTACATCATAACATGTTTTCTTTATCCGAAAGGATTAAAAATATTTGTTTACTAAAAAGTGTAGAATATGTTCTATGGTATTTTCAAGAAGAAGCATTTTACCTCACATTCAAATATGTGAAAATGGGCATTAAATAAAACTTCATATCAGATTTGGGACAAGAGTGAGGCAAGTGATGCACTTACCTTAAGGGAACCGCCAGTAGGAATGCAAAATTATAAATGTGTTTAAAAAAAGGGGGATGACTTAATTTTCAGTTTTGCAAAACATCAAGAAACATCATTGTAAAATATCATACTTAATAGCAATAAAAAAGAAATTTAAAGAATTACAAGTCAGTTATGTGAAGAAAGAGAAACATAATAGAAATGATGTTGGAGCTGACTTTTTTTAATTAA